GCAGTGTTCAAGGGAGGCAAGTACGACCAAGCCCTTCTGGTTGCTGCAGTCCCTCAAACAAAGGCTGCTGATCCACCTTATACTGTAAAAGTGCTGGAAGGAGCCTGAGAAACAGTACTTCTTTCTACACCTGTGATACTTATGCCTAGTATCTACTGCATATACCAACAACCATGTTAGCTGTTGCAATGGTGTTTTTGTAGGCGGTCTGTTTGCTGGGACTACTAGCTGCATTCAGTAAGCTGCTGAGCACTGTCTTAACCAACTCGGATGCTTTGGACTCAGACTACACTGAAGTTAAAATAATATCACAGTACTGCTTCTGTGTTTGGTCACAATTACAAGCCACTGGATTGTAGTAGTGTCTCTGGGGACTTGGCACACGAATTCAAAACTCACAGAAGCCACTTCCCAGTTCAAATATTACAAGGATTCATTTTTCTCTGCTGCGTTTTTCCTGCACTGTGACTTGTATATCCCTTTCGACTGAAGTAGCCCCTGACTTTCCGGGTGCACCTGTGCTGGTTTTCCCACGCAGTCTCTCTTACCAGTGAAATCAATCTCCTCTCTCTTCAGATACTGGCCTGTGGTTGTTAATCTGAATGTTTGATTCTTGATAAGACCTTGAACCAACAGCTTATGGAAAGGCTCCCTAAGGAAGGAAGGAAAAAGAACCCAGTCTGTCAAGAACGGCTGTCAAAAATTCTTTCTATGATAAGCCTCAGATGTTGAGCCAATTAGGCACAATTATTTAATGAAAGAAGAATTTTAAGTTGACTATATATAAATGGTTGTCCCCTGTGAAAGTCAGAATACTTTCTGCATTTATTCATGATGGCTAGCTGACAAGTATAAATATTTATTTGTATTCCACACAGATCATTGCATCCTGATTTAGTACTGAGTTATTCTAAAATCACTTTTCAAATAAAATTATGGATAATACACTAAGGTTTCTTGGCAAACTGTGCAAGTTCACTAACTTTAAACTAAATCTCCATTTGTAAACGTGTTCAAGTTCCTGGCCTCATTTCCTTATAAATGTTTCATTCTAACTTCTCTCTGAGGAGCACAGTGTTTAGAAAAAAAATCAAAATCTCACTGCACATTTCTTTTCATAAACTGAGAAGATACAGTTTCTTGAACAAACATAAGCATTTGTATGCCTTGCCCTTTACAGAACTAGCCATCAAGGCCTAGTTGTAAGGAAAAAAAAGTACACTAGAAAACTGCAAAGCTGGAAAGTTCACATGTCAGTGGACCAATTTATTTAGCATCTGAAACATTAAAACTTAAGTTTTCTAGTAAAATCTGCATCAGGAAGAGCAAGTTATCAGATGTGTCTATGATGGAGATAATAGAGCCTTGAAAGCAACAAAACTAAGGGCAGTAGTGTGCTCAATAAATTCTAAGTAAACACACTGCTCTGGCTGACAGATACACTATTGTTCCCACCTTCTCGCAGTGATCTTACGTTTCTAATTCATTGATTCAGATGGCTGTCATTGTTTTCACTGGAAAAAGTCAATGCAATTAACCTCTAGAGATTTCAGTGCCCACTTGACAGGTCGGGAAGGTGAGGCAGCTGTGGTGGCCACACCAGGAACGCTACTGGCCAGGGAAGAGGTACGGAGCCAGACCCACAAAGCGTGGGGTCTGGGGAATCTTCTCCAGGGATCCTCAGGCGCAAAGGCTTTGGGGACCATCGTTCTAGAGGACTTGCTTATGAGTGGTGGCTACTGCTGACCTCCCTAACACATGTGCTCAACATTAAATAACCTGAGTGAGCCCCCACTCTTCTACTTAAGGAAGCTCCAAATACCTACCAAAATACACTTACGTACAAAGGATGCATCACTTGTATATTTACATATTTTTTCAAAAAGTTACAATAAACCCATCCATCTAAAGAAGAAATAGTAAAAAGAGGCGCCTACATTTTCCTTCACATATAAAAAGGCATAATCCAAAACACTACTCAGTTTTCTAGTTTTCTAGAGTCAGTTTAGCATTTTACATCATTATGAAATATAGAGTATATGACAATTTATCTCATGATTTAAAACATAGTAATTTAATAATATAGTAAAATCATTATCATTTAATGTATGCTTTTTTTTTTTTTAACCAAATTAAAGCAGATACCTTCCAATTGCTGTTCGTTCAATGCTTTTGATGACTCTGAAGTAAGGAGATATTTGAAAGAAAAGCTTTTTATTGGGAGAGAGAAAGCAACAGGCTTCATATGTTATCTTCAACATACTCAGGCTTGAACAAGAGCTCTCTTCCTTGCATATTTTGCATACTCCTAAATATTGGGCAAGGAATGGCACATAGCGATACCATTCAGTCCCCAGGCAGCACAGGTCTCTACAGTACTGCCTGGTTTTATTAACAGTATGGAAAGTAACAATCCAGGCACCTCTATAAACATTTTCTGAACAGTATTTCATAGGCTGCCTGAAAAGTTCTGCTGCTTCGAAATAAATTAAAGGAACTTAAGGAAATGAGAGTCGAAGTCAAGTTTGGACAGTAAAAACAAGAAACAGTATTTTACAAGGATGCGGCAACACAGTCTCAAATATTTATCTTCTGAGGCAACTGCAAAATGCAAACACCTAACCAAAAGCCTCGTCATTCTATTAGCAACAAAATGGGTGTAAAAACACTTACAAGAGACAGCAAGCCTTGTTTTGCTCCACAAACTAAAGAAATTACAAAAAGAAAGAATAAAAAGATTTTTCTCTCCTATCACTCAGCACGTCAGTCTAAAATCTAAAACAGTTATTAAAAGAGCTACATCTGTTGCTATCTAAAATAATAAAACTAATGAAATAGCCAGAACATCAACATCATATAGCACTCCCAACTGGAAGCAATTTTTCAAGGAACACTTATTTTGAATGACAGAGTTAGTTCAGATCATATGCCAAGTTATTAAAAGCTAAATGTAGCAATGAACATTTCCTATTTTTGTTTATGCTGACAGAGGCTACAAAAATGCAATACAAAATACATTACCAAGTATGGAGGGGGGGGAAAAAACACAAACATGTTCCTAGTGGGAGACCACAGAAGAGTGGAGAAATGCCCAAAACGAGAAAGGCAGAGCCCATCTAATAGATACCGGGCTCAGAAACAAATACAGCCCTGAACCGAGTTTCTCCCCATGTGCTGAATGGTTTTGCTAGCGCTGCGATGGCTCCATCTCACGGTCGCACGTAGAGTTACATTTTAATTCACGTTAATAAAACGGCACACCTACAACCTTCCCCCGCAAAGAAACCCATCAGCTGCTCGGCTAGGGAAGGGAAGGGCAAAGACGCCGCAGCCCATCATACCTGACGCAGTTCTGATGCGAGCACTGCAACACAAACCCGTGGCCTGCCGTTATAAGTACCTTCTGAGCAACGCCACGAGAAAGCAACCGAAACTACGCTGTGTTCAGACAGACAAGACTTCTCCAGCGCAGTAAACAAAAGAGGCTGCTTGAGCTTCTTTTTAAGGGCTCGATCGCTTTTCAAACTGTAAGCATGTGGGAACAGGGTACGCCTATAGCCGCCTGTGAGCTGGAGCTGTGTGCAGTTTCTGCCTATGCCGCGTGGCAGGTGGGACCCCACCGGTGCACTCCGACATCTCACAGAAGGATCAGCTGTGACAGCCACGAGGTGTGTAATCCGGCTATTGCTTTTCACTAACTTCCACATACAGGGTTCATCTCGATGATAAATAATCTCTCCACGCTGGAGCACGCACTGGCTGGAGGGGCAAGCGTGGCTGACAGATCAGCAACCCCCTGCTCCGTGCCACGTCCTCAGGCCCCAGGTTCTGCTCCAGGCAAGGCAGGTAGCGGGACTTTGGCTACAATTACAAATGACCTGGCTGGAAGGACTCTCTGCAGCCTGCAACGGTGATAAATATTGGGACTTAAAAGAAGGGCAGGGAACTTGCTGAATATATTTGCATCCCATATCTTTAGAAAGGCTGAGAGAGCCCAGTACTGTGCCCTAGAGTTAAGACCTTGGTCAGGCAACTGTCAGGGGAGTTCAGAAGCTCATGAAACCTGCACGTAGCTCCATCTGCCTGTAAAAGGCCAGAGTATAAGTGATTTTAGGGGGGAGATCATTTTAGGCAGAAAAAAGTTCAAATAACATTCCACTTTTGGATTTTATACAATCCATACATATACGTATGTCATACATATCAGATATACAGCATATCTGAGTGCTTTTTTTAAAAAATCAACACTAATAGTAAAGTCCCCGAAGAACTTACTGAGGCTCTAACATCCTCCCTCTACAGAATAAGATATTTCTGCCGCACAGATACCTTTTATTTTGCAGTGCAGCTATGTAAACTTTCTTACTCAACAGATTTGCTCTCTATCGGAGTCAAACCTGCTGACTTAATAGCAACAATAAGCTTTTTTTATTGCTTTCTAATCCTTCCGGGAGCATATGCTGGATTCCATTTACACTTATTCGTCAAACAGAACTGATTACTAAAGTCCTGAGAAGAGCCAAATTCTGTGTAACTCGTACTTGCAATAATACGGTCGAGCAGGTGTAACTGAGGGTGTCAACGCATCTGCCACGGTGGATTAAGCTGGAAGAGATGATGTAGTTGCTGGCCCCAGCTGCCTACCTGGCCCCTCTCCCAGGGGTGGTCACAACTGGGAGGGCTGGCTGGCTTGTGAATTAATTCCAGAACTGTTGCAGTTTACAATCCAGAATATTAAAACAGGATGACATCAACTTGGGCTTAATGTGTTGTCACGTGTATCGATACCCAGAGGGTGCTATTTATCCTACTTTGTCAGTATTAGAGAAAATGAGCAAAATCCTCCCAAAACCTCCAGTTCGACCCATTAAAAAAAAAATAGAGAGAGAAATTATGCTCCCTATTCAGGGCAGTTTTAAACTACAATTATTACAACTACTCTTATTAACTACTCTAATTATTAAACTACTCTTATTACAATTTCAGATGCCTACAAACATTGCATTTTCAATGAAAGCATGTGCGATGCCTGTAAATGAATGGGTATATTTCTACTATAATGCAAATCATTCATGAAGAAGACAGAGTAGGTTGCTTTGAAAATCCAAACTACAAAATTTTGAATTTTTCTTTTCAATCTCATTATTACATTAACAGTTATTAGTACAGAAATAAAGACTACCAGGAAAAATTCCAATAGATTTGAAAGTCAGAGAATAGGAGCTAAATAATGAAAATTATTATGAAGAAAACCTATCAAAATGAAAGACTATTACAGATTTATAGGGGCATCTCTTAAAATTTGTCATGGTACCACGTAACATCTTAAATGGTTGTATCACTCATCAGCTGAGATGTAGCAGATTTTTACTACTTTAATCAGTGAACAGACCTGAGCTACCAGCACAAGATTTAAAAGTCACAAGAGGGGAGCGTTTTCTAACCTTTTACTACGTTCCCCCTTGCCACTGTGGGCTCCCACAGCATGATTTTAAGCTTCCTAACAATAAGCTTGTTGTGTCTCATCACCCTTTTTGGATCTCTCAGACCACTCCCTGAGCAATCCTAACAGAAGACTGAGCAAACGTGGCTTCTGACAAATGCTAAAGCAAATTTCTAACACGTGGTAATATTTATAGAGGACTTTACAATTCCCATATCAAAACAAAACCCTAATTTGACTTCACTGCTTAGAAGCCTCTAATGCTTTAACTTGTGTAGAAGCTAAGGCAAGCAGACAATTTTATGCCTGATGATGTATTTGTTACAGTCATCCTGCATTCTGAATACACACATAAGCAGTACAAACAACAGACCCTAAGGGCAATGCTCTAACATTTCTTCACATGTGCAACAGTTCCTGAGACTACGTATGCGCCCTCACAGGACTTCTGTACAATCTTGCAAACTACTTTTACAGAAAGCAATTTTGATTTTCTCTCCTGTTGTCACTAGACATAGTCAGTATTTCCTGTGTACTTCTGCGATTTACCACACTTAGCCCAGTCTACACCACACAGCTTTCATGGTGCAGCTCTGTCACAGCAGACTGTGAACAATACACGTTCCAAATTAACATAGCTATAAAAATCACCAAGTCTTAAAATAATGTAGGTTGGAAGGGCTCTTTGGTGGTCATTTAGTCTAACCTTCAGCACTCAGCAGAGCTAACTTCAAAGTTAGAGCGGGCTGCTCAGAGCTCCACCCAGGTGGTGGAGCTATATCCAGTATATCCAATATCCAATCATGGAGATCCCATAACTTCTCTGGTCAAACTGTTCCAGGGTCTGACAACTCTGGAATATTTTCCTTCTATTCAGATGGACCTTGCTGCAATCTGTGTCTGATGCCCCTTGTCCTTTCTCTGTACATCTCTGAGAAGAGTCTTGTTCTGCCTTCTCTACGATCCTCCTTTAGGTAGCAGTAGACTGCAATTAGATCCTCTCCTTAGCCTTCTCTTCCTCAGGGTGAACACATCCAACTCCCTCAGCCTCTCCTGGTATGCCACACGCTGCAGCCCTCAACCATCCCTATTGCCCGCTGCTGGACCTTTTCCAGTTTGACAACATCCCTCTCAATGGGGGCCCCAAAATTGGACACAATATTCCAGATGTCACTCCATGAGTAATGAGCAGGGGAGAATAATCACTGCTGGCCATACTTTTGCTAATGCAGCACAGTATACTGTCATGTGTACTGCTGAGTCATGTTCAACTTGATGTCCACCTGGACTACCAAAGCCCTTCTCTGCAGAGCTGCTCCCCACACAATCAGCCCCAGCCCCTGCTGTTGCAGGGGGTTACTCCATTCCAGGTACAGGAATCTACATTTGTCCTTGATGAACTTCAAAGGATTGCTGCCAGCACTTTGACAAGTTGGAGGAGCAAGTCCAAAGTTCTTTGCATGGCAGCCCAGCCATCCAGAGTTTCAGCACTCCCCCCAGCATGGCGTTCCATGAACTTGCGGAGGCTGCATCTTCTTGTATTGTTCAGGTTGTTGACGAAAATGTTAAAACATAATTGGCCTCACTAGTGACCCCTGAGGATACCACTAGTAATTGGCTGCCAGTCAGACTCTGAACCCCTGACAACTACCCTTTGAGCCTGGTAGTCCAGACAATTTTTCCATCGCCTTTGTAGTCCACGCATTCAGTCTGTATCTTTCCAGTCTAGCCGTAAGGATGCCATGGGAGACACTGTCGTAAGTCTTACTAAAAGCAAGATAAATGACATGCACTGCTCTCCTCTGACCCACAGAGCCAGTCATCTCATCATAGAAGACGGTTAGCTGAGTCGGGCACAATTTCCCATGGTTAAACCTGAGGTGGCTGCTCCCAGACACCTTCTTGTCCTCCACGTGTCTGAAAACTCCTTCCAGGAGGATTTGTGTCATACTCTTCCTGGGGACTGAGGTGAGGCTGACTAGCTTGTAAGTACATTGGATCATCCTTCTTGCCTTTTCTTGAAGATGAGCATGACATTTGCTTTTCTCCAGTCATCAGGGACATCCCCTGATCACCAGGACCTTTCAAAAATAATAAAGAGCAGTCTCACGATGATGCAAGCCAGCTCCTTCAGCACCCGTGGATACATCTCATCTGGTCCCAGGGATCTGAAGATGCCCCGTTACCTAAGTGGCACCTAACTCAATCCTATTCTACAGTGGGTAGTACCTCTCTCCCTTAAACTCTCCTACTAAGGCACAGACATTGACAGCAAAAGGCCAAGGCAGAGATTGTCCTTTATTACTAGGCCCTCAGTCCCATTTAGCATTGGGCCAACATTTTCCTTGGTCTTCCTGTCAACGTAGCTGCAGAAGCCTTTCTTACTGCCTTCCCATTCCTCACCAGTTTCAAATCTAGCGGAGCTTTGGCCTTTCCTAATTCCATCCCTACCTGCCCAGGCAATGCTTCCACAATCTTCCAGGGGTAGCGTATCCCTGCTTCTACTTTCCATGGACTTCTTTTTAAGTGCTTGAGCTCACTCAGGAGGTCTCCGTTCAGCCAAACTGGCCTCCTGCCATGCTTGCTCACTTTGTTGCACATGAGAGCGGATCATTTACTTTGCAAGCAAACCTTCCCTTCTATGTGGTCTCAGTTAATAATGACAATACTTTAGCCACCACAGTTAATGTTTTCTGGGAACAACTCCCAGAACAAAAGCAAAAGAACTTTTTCTTGTTGTGTGTTGCAGCTCCGCTAGACAGCTCATAGATCAGTAGTGTAAGTCTTTTACAGCACTGATTAGCCTGTAATTGCTTGCAAGAATAAGCTCTGAAATTCTCTCCTACAAGGACTAGTGCCCATAGCAGAAAGGACTGGCTTCTGGAGTCCCAGTTCCTCACAGAAAGAGCAGCCTTCCCGCTGCAGCTATGCGGGCCAGAGATCACAGGGTGAAACACAGGCCCAGAAATCACCACATCCAAACTGTTTCACAGGCAAGAACCAGCAGTGGAAACAGCATCACCTATTTTCATCAAATGACCATGAAATGATTTGGGGAAATGCTCCAACAGCCCCTTTAACTACTCCATCTTTTTCTGGTGCACAGCTACTTAAACTCTACTTGTGTAGCAAAACCACTACATTCAAGAGAACTCAACGCCATTTGTATGTATGTTCCTCTTTCACATCATGCTTTCAGAGTGGATACTAGTAAAGCATGAAAGCATAGGAGTTGCCAAATGAGAAATTACTGAGCAACTAGTCTCATGGAATCACTTGTTTTGCACCTCTGTCTACTCATCTGTCTCTGCTGGTGGGAGAACAGAGCACAGGGCAGTATTTCACGCTTGGGTGGTTCTGACACTAATATCCTCCCAGCTGAGGCGTTCCTGCCATGGCATTTTGGGGTAGAAAGGGCAGAACTTCAGTGGAAATAGGGCCAGCCATTTGAGAACTTAACTGAGAGAACAAAGAACAGGTCAAATGACTCTCCTTCCCGCCTCAAACTTTACCCCTAACCAAAGGAAAGGATTCTGCATTAGCAGTAAGAGTAGTCAAAGTAATCAAATAACAATATAAATAAGCGCATAAACACATTACCTTTTCTTATCAAGAACTATTTTACACTGCTCAGCTCCAATTCTGCAGTGAATTATAGAAGTGCTTAGTTTTCTACATATGCATGGTTCCTCTGAAATGAATGGTATTATTAACTGCGCAGCAAATTACCTAATTTGAAATAATAGCACTATCCAAAATGCCTGAAGTTACTAGTTGATGTAAGCTTTTGCAGGCTGAAAAATCTACAGCAACGTTTTATCACTTGCTCTGAAGCAAGTAATACTCTTATAATACAAACATTACATATGCATACATACAGAAATTACAACAGGCTGCAAGAAACCAAGTATTTAGCCAAGACAGACAAGCAAGGAAATTCAGGCTTATTCGATGTAATGTTCAACCACCTCAAAATTTTCCACTAATGCTCCTGTTACCTGAATGCAGCTTAAATGATTTTTTTCTAGAAATACATAATGCTTACTTGTGCTTGGTCATCTTTAGATCACAGCAAAAGTGACTGAAAAATCTAGCATAGAATAAGTGCATAACTGCATGCTCCTTTCCTCCGATGTACAAATCCACAGGCATCCAGTAGTCAGCCAAGTCATTATTAAAGGGTCTGAAAAACAAAATAATAGAAAAAGATAGAGAAAACACAATGTAGAAAAGAAAGATCAGCTCTACTGAAGTAGCTCATCATACTTGACTGTTCCCTGAGAGCTACACATCTAATGAAACTTTTAATATCAGTTCTTCTGAATTTTTAAAGAAGTGATATGCTCACTAAATTATATACAAAATTGTAATCGCCACTGAGAAACAGATCCAATAAAATATGATTTTCATACCTTTTAGATGTGCAACTAAAATTTCACCTAATCACTTAAGAAAGTGATGAAAACACTTGCTTGCTCTTTAAAGGATTTTTTTCAGAAATAACGTCTGGCCACCATTTGAATTTTCTAGTACTTAGAGATATCAAATTTTGCATAAAAATATATTACTATTAAAGAAGATGAAAGACATGCCCATTTAAGAACAGGTTTTTTTTTTTTAATTGGAGGTTTGCAATGTTGCCATTAGGGGGCAATGTAACATCTTGTCATAACTCCTGTCATTCTGAAGAGTCAGATGGGTACTGGAACTGAAGAATGCTCTATGGATTTACAATGAAGGTTGGATGCCATTTCCAGCATATTTACTAAGTTATTGGCGGTAACCTGCATGGTTTATTAGCATTGCTCATTGCTTCATTAAATATTGCTATGTCTCATGCAACAGCTTCCTGCCTGCAAAATATTATTTTGATATACGTTGTGTTTCCTCAACATACATTTTGCAGTCTCATTCTAACAAATTTACCTGTTTCATTAGCCTGTTTGATTATTTCATCCGCAGTTTTTATATTAGTAACACTTTCTTCTTCACAGATGAACCCAGAAGCAACACTGGATCTGAAATTCTTGTCTATCATGGAACAAGCTAAAACTTACTGTGGTACACAGGACTCCAAAATCAACAGAAAACTTCTCCCCAATTCTAGGTGTTTGAAATATGATTATAGAAGTAAAGGGTTTACGTATATGCAGCTTAGCTTAAAAAAAAAAAAAAGAAAGGAAATATCAAACATATCTAACGATCTAGCACAGAAGTCTGAAATTCTTATTTCAATATAAAACAGATTTAGCTACATTGAGCTTGTGACTTTGACAGCTTGACATTACACCTGATTGTGTCATCTTCAGCTTCTGGAAAAGCTCTTCTTGTCCATGCACAAAAAGATATTTCAAACTGTCACTGGGGAGAAAGCGTTCTGCATAATGCAAGACTACTACAAACTTAAAAGTTAATATGAAATAAGTGTCCAGAGAAGAATTTTGATTTGTTTAACTAAACTACTGCTGCCAGTATCAAAATATAATTTGTCCAGCTATACTTAAATCTCTCTGCATAAATATGAATTCAGACGCTGCTCTGGGAGGAAAAAAAAACAAAAACACAAAAAAAACAGTCCTAAGTGTGGTATCAATATCTAAAAAATGCAGTTCTATCTTTCTCAGACTACATACCAGCACCGTTTCACTAATTCCTCTTTGCAAAAAAAAAACCAAGAAAAAGCACTTGTATATTTTACTGTCTTATCTCACATAAAAACAGGCAGCCAAAACAGACAAATGGCCTTCTTGATGTGGCCTTCTCAACAAAGTGTCTATGCTGTATGTATATGAATAGATGTTACTTGGAGGTCATGAATTCTAAAATGGAAATGTCAATAATTAAAATAAAATAGACCCTACCAGACTTATTTACCAACATGAAGCTCATTTTGCATGATTCTCCAGGAAGACGGAAGGCATTTTACTAGACTTTTTCTATTTATCTGGGCAATAACTGAATGACCTATGGAAAATACCCATCTAATTTGCTGCTACCATATTGTCCTACACAATGGCTCTCAATGTGCCCAAGAAATAGTAACGGCTATTCATCCAGTGACTGCAGGCTACAATCTAATTTGGCCAGTGTATGTAAACTGCTTTTGGACAACTGAGTCAGCCTCCGTGCAGGCTGCTTTAAGGCCGTGTTTGACACAACGCCTCAAGGCATAATCAGTAGTGCTAATACAGGCAGACTGTGAAGCAGGTAAACAGCTAAATAACTAATCTGTCTTCCCATGCTCTTTGTGCTGTAGCCGCTAATACGCAGCACAAGAAAAATCTCCTTTTATTAATTATGCATACAGCCAAAGTAACAACACAGCAAGAACTTACTCTGATGCCACATCACTTCAAGTCTGAACACAAGGAAGCAGCAAGATTTATCAGAATTCTAAAAGAGCTAATTTAAGGTGTCGTTCTGGGCAGCTGGATGTTACACCAAAATCCTCCTCTTACCAGTGGAATTGCACCATCGGTCTACACCCTGAAATAGTCAGTCTGTTACTGGGGAGGACACACGCAATGCAACTTACCACAATTTCAGAGAGAAGAGTTGCAGTAGGCTGTTATTCTTGATGGCACCCTCCACTAATAAATTCCTTTAGCTCCTCAGCTGAACTTTTCCTCTATGCCCTGTTTCATACTGCCCTTTCATGCAAACTCCTGCCCCTTGCCTTGCAGCTCCTGCACTTACGTAGTTGTGTCTGCACATTCTGCCCTCATAGATCTCCCAGACCGGGCACAACCAGTGCCTAGTCGACTCTGTCCTGCACTCAGGGATAGACAGTAGGCATGAAATCAGGGCAGCATATGGATTTACACTGCCCTTCTGCAAAGGCAGAAGCTAGAAGCACCGGAGCATCCAGTCTCTTTCTTCCTCCTTTCTTCCCTTCTATTCTGTAGAGTAGATTTGTCCACCACATGGCCCTGGGTCTGGACCCCTTACCGTTCGGTGTTGTGAGGGTCAGTGTACCTCAGGTAATACCAAGCAGAGTCAACAAATGTATCCATGGTATCAGTTTCTCGCCTTGCAGCTGCCTTGCACCTGAGCAAGAGAGAAGGAAGGACGAGACCATTTTTAGATAAGTAACAAGCCTGGCACAAGAACAAACAGGTACAGAGTGGCCATGAAGAAATTCAGAACGAAAACTGGAAGACTGAACAATTAAAGCAGTGATATGTTGGAAAAATGTCCAGTATATGAAACAGGGCCAACTCTCCTTCCCTCTCTCTCCCAAACAAACAAAATCAAAACACAAACCAAAAAAAGCCTAAATGGCTTTAAGATGGATCAATAGTGGAAGACTGCACAACACAGGACTGCCCTCTCAATCCTATGCTCCTGGAATTTTTTACAACACAACTGGCATTAAAAAAAACAAGACTGTGCTTCACATTTTGAAAAAATTACACAAAGAGTAAGCAAGTCTTAAAGCACAGACAAGTGCGCTTTGCCATCAGGTCAATGGGTACTGAATATATATCATCCTCTTTAGGTACCATCAGACAAATCATTTCATAAACGTTCAGCAGAAGGAGCAGGCTGGTCACCCCTCACGGACTGTCGTCACGAAAAGGTCTTTGAAGACTCCATTTCTAAAACCCCAGAAAAAATGAACTTGGTTTAATTTCAGCTTCTACCGAGATGTATCAAGTCTGTTCTAGCCCTTGTAGCACACTTTTAATTTGTGATTATTGCAAATCAATTTTTGCTAGGAGTTACATTGGCAGCACTGATAAACACAGTTTTAAAATGAGTTCTAGAAGCTCAGGCTATTTTCCTCTAATTTCTCCCTGAATATAAATTATTTGCTTAATGGAGCCAATAACCACATTTGGTAAGTTTCCATCTATTGTAAATGATCCCTCTTTAAAACTCTAACTGTTGAAACAATGACATGTCTCTAATATTAATGGAATTCTGCCACCTGTGACAAACTTGCATATAATATATGTTAATAAAGAGTGGCCGCTAGCTATTTAATATTTTCCAGTTGTACCTCTAGTCTGTGATCAAGCTTGATGGTTGAGCTACAACACCTGTCTGCCTGCCTGATACTTCAGCTTGGCTTGCCAAGGCAAGTTGATGAGAGTATCACCGCTTACAGCATTTTCCTTCACACTGCCTCTGCTCAAGGTCCATTTCTATCAGCAAGTTTTTCCTTCAACAGGAATAACGTAGTAAAGGAATTTCACTTTTAGTCGCTTTCTAATATAAAATAACGATTGTTGATAGATAGTACATATAAGCAGAGACTTGGTCAACATAAAATAGATACAGTATTATATTGAAACGGAATGGCTTTTCAGTCAAAAGCAAGAATACTTTACAATCATTGAACCATAATTACACCTGCTTCATATCTCTGCTGTTGCCTGTACTCTAAACGGACCTAGCTCACCAACATAGAGCACTAACATGGGCATCTTTCAAAATATATGCATTAGGCACAATATTGTAATCTGCTCAGACAGTCTTCAGACAATTAACCTGATTATCTGAACTTGCATAAGAATGAATAATTTATGTATCTCTTTCCATTTATGATTGCTTACATTCCTGTAACTCAAATTTTGAGCTTTCACAGCCTTTTTTATCTTTCCATCTTGTTTTCCTCAGTAATTCCAAATATTAAATGCAACTAAAGAAAGAAGCCTTGTCAGTGGAGAGAATGACTAAAGGAAGGGATGACTTAACTCCTCAGAGCAAGGAAAAACGGGGGATAAGGATGACTGGGCACACAATGGAGGCAATGGTTCAGAAAGGATTTGAAACAAGCAATATTGAAAATACCTGTCAAATAAAGTAACAAAAGTAAAAGCCAAATAAAGGTCAAAATAAAAAAGTAAATTTCAGCAAACCACCACCTTTTAGGCTACGAAAGTGATCCTGTATACCATTATTTCTGACTAACTCACGTTCTGCTAGTTCCCTATGCAGAACCTGCAGGCAGATTCCCGGGTTCAGGGTATCTAAGCAGCCCTCAAGACTACATAGCTGATCTTCATGACATCTCTCTCCCTAGCTATCTGATTTAGGCTGCTTCTTTTCTTATATAGATGGGCTACAAACAATAATGATTACAATGTTGACAAGATGCATATATTTACTACCTCCTTCAGTCTGAATCATACGCTGTCATGGATAATTTACAGTGCATATGATCCTTCATGATAAATACTTATATAGCAGAGCAAACAATATTGCTGGACTACTGTTAAGAATATTAACAAGATGTTAGTTTCTTTACCAGGAAGAAATAATTCAATAATCATCACAAGCTTTTTATGAACTCTGCTGCTGTAAATGAAGTAAGAAATACTGTAAAGAAGCAGAGGAAAGAAGGAAGAAAAACAATTCGGTTTCCCTATTTTCTTTCCTCCAGCTTAAAAACAGTCAGCTTTGTTTCAGCTTATTTATCAAGAAATAGCAGCAGGTATCTGCGTTGCAAACAAGGATCTTTACAGTGTACATAAAAACAACTACATTGGGTCAGACCGAACATCCTTCTAGAACAGTATCCTGTCTTAGGGTGGTCAGTTGTCAACATTTATGGAATGAGCACAAGAAACAGGCAAACACACAGCGATCTCTCCCAGCCTGCAGTAAATGCAGCGATTGCTTACCTTGGACACGAACAGTTCACCCATTCGGGAACGTTCTCCAAAGGTGAGGCTCCTTTTCCTGAAAAGGTCGTTATATTGGGCAATAGCACAGGTAAGTCCTCATAAGGTACAGGGACAGCGCCACATGTCTGGCAGTGAACGACAGGAATTGGTGTTCCCCAGTACCGCTGTCGAGATATTAACCAGTCTCTTAATTTGTCGCTTGTTAAGTCTCCACCTATTCCTTTATTCTTGGCCTGCTGGGTAAGAGCTTTTAAAGCCTCCTGTCGGGTCATGCCTGTGAACTGATTTTAAAAAAAGAAAAGAAAAAAGAAAAAAAGAGGAAAAAAAGGAAGGACAGAAGTCGAAAGAAAAAAATCATACTTGCTACTAGTGAAAATGCAAAAATAGTCATAAAAGTCACAAATGCAATTTCTGAGAGACAAAGTTTGAGTCTAACATTAGTTTTCCCTTTCCCATTGCTTAACATCCTTCTATGCAAGAGCCATCACATACCCATCAACGCACTTATTTAAACCCTCTTGCTCAAAGGATAACATCTTTGATGGCCTGAACAGGACTGAGAAAGGGCCCTATACATCCCTTCAGCTTTTATTTGCAAATATTTGCATTTATTGCTGATATTTGATTCAGCAGCTGTATGCCAAAAACTTGCAGAATATCACCAACACAAGGCAGAGACTGAGGAAACGTGGATGGCAGACCAGCTTTCCTTCTCCCCTGTGTTTGTCTGAGGTTATTCTATTCCTTGCTTCCACGTACTTTTTAACCACTTAGACCCTACCTGTCATGTAGTAGCAGACACAAACCTCATATTTCTGCTAGAGCTATAACACTGTATATATCTGATTTAAAGATAAGATTTCTATATCATTTTAGGCAGATATGTTTTTACCAGAAAGGCTTACACCATATTTCAATGAATATGTTAACGCATTAGTCCTTTTTCACATTTAGCTTAAAAATATATAGAGACGATAAAAGTAAGAATCAACATTTAACATGGAATCAACTATTCACTTTCCATTATAAAACTCAGACAAATACCACATTTTCTTCTCACGTACAAAAGATTAGGATTGGGAACAAACTAATTTTATTGCTATAGAAGAACCACTATATGTTATCGTTAAAGTTGTTCCTAGAAATTTGATAGCATAGACCTGGCTTAGGTCTTAAAAAACATAAACCAATGAAAAATCCCTGAAATCGTGCAAAGTGTCTGGCATTTTCCAGAAAGCAATTTTAGTTTGCATTGTTATTGTGCGTTGGAGAGGAGGAATTCAAGAGTTGTACACCCACCTCACCAGAATTAATGACTTTCTCCAAACCATTTGGCAATGTTTCAATGACTTCAGTGAAAGAAATACCCAGATTCTTAGCTACTGTGGCGTCTTCTGTACTAGTACTAGGAATTCCTAGAAAGGGGAGAAAAAAAAATTAGCGCTGGGATTGACTGACATGGATATTGATTAGTCATTTGAAAGTAAAATATTTTCTTTCTACGTCACTCCAACTCTTTATAATGACTTGTATTTGCCCCAAAAATTTTAAAAATTTAAGATAAACAAAAATATCCTTCGAGCAGTGAAACTGAAGAAGAAATAATTTAAAACAAGTTTTATCAGTTTCTCTGTAAGCCAAATGTCAATGTCCTACCTCAAAAGAGCCTGAAAATGACCTGGTTCAAGAAAGAGCCTAAGAATAAAACTGTGAATTTTAGATAAATAATACAAAATTAAATATATTATTTAAATATAATTTAGATATATATGAACAATTAAATTTAATTTATTAGGATGAGAAACATAAATACTAAACAAAACAGCATACATAATAGTCCCCTTGTTTTAATAGTAAATTTAAGCACTTTCTAAATTCATAGCTTATTAAAACGTATTCACAACACCACAGTCTCTAACACCACTATCTCCTTAACTTCTTATGAAAGACATGACTTGTTTTTCATCTGAAGAAAACTCCATTCAAAAGAACATCAATTTTCTATTCAGAATACAGCTACTGAGAGCACTTTCTAACAAGTCACAGAAGTCAGAGTATTCAAGGCCCCTGATGCTGTCTTTCCCTTTGCATCCTATTATTTGGGACAGTCATACATTTTGAATACAAGTTCCTCTTCCAACCCACACAGACTTCTTTTTATTACAGCAATTTGCCAGCATCATAAAATGACACATTATCTTTAAATATTCCTCATTCATATTGATAGATGCTGACATCTTCCCTCTGATTTCGCTGCCTGTAGTTTAGTAGTCACTGTGTTCCACTTTGGAGGACTACCTTTCAGGGGTAAGTCAAGAAAACAGATTTCTTAACTGTACTATACAGTTGCACTCTGAAGTACCGCTGAGATACTAACAAATCTATTATGTCACAGGGAGAAACATCTTTCTGCCTACTTTTTCTTTTGGTGACCATTTATTTAGTATTTTGAATAATCTTGCACTTTCACTATCGTATTTAAAAGGCAAAGAAGCCTATTCAAACAATCCAACGCAAATAACAGTTTGGTGAAAGCAACACACCAAAAACTCTCAAAGCATCTCTGAGCACGTTCGGATTATTAACATATAAACTACATTCAAAACTATTTTAACAAGCATCTTAGTTCAGGCAATTAAATGCCTGCTACGGTAAATACATTAACTCTGTCAATATATGGAAATTTGGAAGCAGATAACTAATGAAAACCAAACAAGACCCCCCCACAACAAATAACTAGCAAAATAAGGAATCACCCTTTAATCTTTCCAGCAGATGTACTCTCTTGCCATTTAAAGGCCCTATTATAGCATAATATATGTATCTTAATTTGTCAAAGAGCTCTGCAGTCTGCAACAGGTGGCTTCACAATATGCTCTACAAATGGAAAAAGCAGACTCCCTTTTTGGTCTTCCTTGCTTTTGAAAAGATGATGCTATTAATGCACTTTTGCAAAATTCAACAGCTGGCATCCAGAACTTCCTGGGAAGATCTGGGCTGTTTCCAACAGACATAAGGCCAAGGCACATGCCAGTGAACAAGATGGAGGTTTCTACTGAAAAATAAGATTAGCTATCCCAATTATTTGGCTCGTCTTACACCACAAAAGGTTCTGGTTCTCAAAACCAGGTTCAGTCCTGAAGAGTAAGATGTAGGCACATTATAAATAAGGTCTGGTATCCAGCTCAAATGAATAATCTCCAGCCCTGAGGAACATCCAAGATATTTTTGCGCAATACTCAGTAAAAGCAGCACCAAGGAGAATGGCACAAAGACACCTAAGTGGCTCTGCAGAGTCAGCTAGTTTTGTTCAGTTCAGTTCAGCCCCAGAAGAGCCAACACTGGCAATAATGTAGGAAGAGGCAGCAGCAGCCGCTTTCCAAGGTAGGAAAGGAGTAAGACAGAAGCAACAAAAGGGAGTGAAGGAATAAGGAAGGTAGCGTAATGGGGAAAGAAGAGATAAAAGAACTTTATTTTATCAGGATTGGCACAGAACACTACTTCAGCTGAGATGAGGCCACAAAAAATAATAATAATTCTAAATTAGGTGCCTAAAGTTACAGGAATACTTTCTTTAGAGATACAGGGTCCACGATAACGTGCCAAGACTAACTGAAAAGAATTATTATCTATAATAAATTACTTCACTGAGCTTAACACAATATAAACCAATAAAAGTCAAGCTTGGAAGTCTAGTGCTTTTACTGAAAGAAACGTTTCTGAAACATTTCTCTGTAAGTATGCATATAATTTAGGTTCATATACAACAGAAACAACCTGTAAGTCTGCATCATTGCCAAAACGTTTATGTCCAACAACGGTAAAGTTCTGTTTCAATTAAGGATGGTGAAAGACCTCCACAGGCGCACACGCTGTATGCAGTCAATCCTCTTAAGATACACAGATTCTCAAGTTTACCTCTCATTAAACTTTCTAATTTTACAATATTTCCATTAATATCATCCTGTAAAAATCTCCTCCCAAACACATTCTACGTAGCTATTTCTCCTTTCCTTCTTCCTTAATGAAGGACAGCGTTGAGTTCCAAAGTCCAGAAAAGAACCTCTAAATGCAAAGATTTATCACAACAGCTTCTGGTGCTCCAGCACAGTAACTGAATACTGCACTATTCCACGTACACATTAACTGTCACATACCTATTTTAGTGTCGAGAAAATTCTCAAAATTTGGTTTTGCTGAAATGACTATAGGAATCTCCTGATTGGTAAGCAAATTCACAGCTGTCACTGAAGTAAGGCAGTCTGAAAACATATGTAAAGATAACAATAAGTAAACTATGACAGCAGATAGGTTAAGAATATTACTTAATATTAAAAGAAAATCTCAGTTTATCTAACTCATTAAATTTAAATTACAATTTTTTTCAAATAAGAAAGAAAATGGAAAACAATCACATTTTTAAGAAGTTGAGAGGTATTAAAAGCTTCAGTAAGTCTGACTGAAAAATATTTGTAACTAAAAAAAATAAGTAACAAATACCTGAATAAAAACAGAGTGAGATTTGGATTAATAATAATAATGTAATAAAAACATTGCAGTCCTTGACCAAAATGAAGGACTGCTATAAAGTGAACTGGTTCTAATAAGGCCACAAGAGAAGCAGCCCTGATTTATATACTAAGAGACACTATCACAGAATTAAGCAAAACAAAAAACAAAAAAACCCCAAGGATTCACACAGAACTGAAAGGGAGCATATATACTATGCTTATGACGTGCTTTCTTACAGAAGAACAAAAAGCATGAGAAATCCTGGCTTGTGTGAAAACATCTACACAACTGATTGATTTCTGAATAAAATACTAATATTCACATTAGAGCTAGGCCTGCGTCACTATCCTGGAAACCAATGTCCACAGAGAAGGCAAGAGAGAAGGGAGAATCAAGAGTAAGGACTGTGCTAAACTGAGATGGATTTATATGTTGTAGCTTTGAGAGTGTGGGAAGAAGAAAGCCCAACCCGAACACTCACAAGTTTTGAGGACTGAAAACCCAGGTCTCAATTCGGAGCTGCTTCTAACTTTTTAGCACCTTTAAGCTCAAAGCAGCTTCAAAACCACTAGGTAAACTGATGACGCTTTTGAAAATCAGTCATGTGCATAGCCACTGCACATCCTACTATGCAACAGTAAAGAGAGCAAGCTTCTCCAGTCAAAGACTCTGCGGTAAGATATCTACCCTTGCCAAATAGGGTGTCAGGATCTGTAGTGGTCAGTCAAAATATAATAGGCCGCAATTTTAAAGATAATTTCAGAGACTCATGCATAGTGGACTAAATCTATCCTATTTTGCAAGGATGAGGGACAAAGATGGCGTTTCTCGTATCTGACTCTCTACATTATCTTAATTATTATAATGTAGCGTATTTTAATTATTATATAGACCACTAAGAGCTTCCTTCTGCCTATCTTAATAGATAAGCTGAGTAGAGCCTCAGGCTTGTACTGTTATGCACATAAAGTCTGCTTGAAATAAAATAAAAACATTTCGGAGAATAGGGTTACTATATCTCATCTGTCTTGTTAACATAAATGATATATTTATTTATTTCTGATTACTACTTTTCAGGTTTCAGCACCTTCAGATGCCCATTTTGATGCTGTATTATCAATGACCTGGAGGAAATTTCTTCTGTTCAAACCATTGCACGTTAGCTTTCCTCCTCTGTTTAAAAAAGTAGAAAAGGAATCATTTCACTCTTTGAAAGCAACTAAGCAAAAAGCCTCATGAACAGGAAGCTGAGTAGGTAGGACAGTCTGCTTTTAAAAATAACTTCTCTCTTCCCCCAGCAATAACACCAATTTTATGCTGCAACCTGGAATAACAGCTCTTCAGTTTATGAAGGCACTCTTCCCTTTGCTCATACCACTATTATAACTGTAAAGAGATAATATTATAATTACAAACACAAAAGAAAGGGTAGGCACAGTATTCTAATGAGCTAATGAACAAAGTAAGGGTCACACTCTTATCTCAGATATGTCACTGGCAAAACTGGGAGACTTACTAGATTCAAAATAAATCTATTGAATTTTGCTAAGTTAAAAATTGAATGTTTGAAAACTGATTACTTACCTTTATTTAAATGATAACAGCTTAAAATACAGAGCTGTACTCCAAGAGTACAGGTATTAGAACTTTTAAGTTACTTTGCCATATTAGTACTTTCCTCTCTGCTACAAAACATATAAACATACCCTCCTAATCATTTAAATGAGAACAGACAACATAGGAGTTATGAGATTATCCGAGCTGAAAAGAGAATAATTAACAAGTAAAATAAATTAACATGTTCATGTTACTTGGGAATTAAAAAGAGTCTGGTTAACGGTGAAACTGTGGTCTATTCAAGGCAATCCTAAACATCTTTTGACTTGAATGTCATTGTTCATGGCATTCATACGTACCATGGCTGAAACGGAAATGTGAAAGTCCATGTAGGACTTTTATTCCTATAGGTTCTCTTATTTGGAAAATACTAGTCTGTGCCTTTGAAATGCTTGAATAACACACTACCAGATAACAGCCTACCTCAGCTGCAGACTATATGTAAATACATTCACAGATAGCAGGAGTACACAGCTGTAATAGAGTTAATATTCTGCAACTGTTTCCACTTGGAAGTTTCCATTTTGTTTCCACTTGAAAAGTTTCTATTTTTTCAATATATTCTGGCCATCATCGCCCCGGTTGAAAGTTTCTTGATTTTGCTCAATCAAAAGGTAAAGTGTGTTGTAAACAGAAACAAAAAAGCTCTCAAGTATTTCCATGTGAAAAAAATATGTAAAATAATAAACCATTGTCCTTTGCAAAGGACGAGATTTGATTTGGCTGAACTGTAGGAGCTGTAATTTGTTCCTTTGTTCCTCAGTAAAAATTCTCCAAGCCATTGCTGTCTCTCCCTCTGGGACAAGGGCTCTACATACGCAACACATTCAAGCTCCATTTTTTTCTGCTACCAAGCAAAAATTATCAAGATTATAGAAATGAATCACTCAAAAATAAAGCAGGTTCTGTGCAATCAGAATATTTTCCCTCAACATTCCTCCTTTTTGCTGTTGGCATGGGATGGTATATACACAATGAAATCACATTTTTAGTAGTGAAGAGAAGAATAAACATTGAATAGCATAAATATTGAACCATAATGGCCATATGGGCTACTTTGAATTTACTCCATTAAAACCATATATAAACTGAGGATTTGTACAGCAGAGTATTACTTCGCTATACATCAACGATCTACTTTACCGGGTATCAATGATCTCTTCCCTTCTCTATATGCCCTATGATGGGAAGAGATCACTGCCAGGACAAGAGCTGGTTCTGCTGTCTCTGTTCTAATGACATACTACCATACAGTGGAGACATCTTCCAGGGGGGTCTGGCATAGTCACAGTTTGACCATTCACTTCCATTACATAAGGCAACGAAAATCCAGTCCGTTACTCTTACAAACTGTAAAGTTTTACAACCGTTACAAAAGTAAGAATTCTAACGTAGCTACCGTTACTCTGCTCTGAAGGAGGACGAGCTGATGTGGTACGATTTGACATGCACAAAGGAATCAAAAGGAACTGTTTCCTCTCAGGAGGAACTGTTCATGCTCAGCTGGGCACACACTTTTTGAAGATTATTCTCTAAAATTGTTACACTTTTAGAAGAAAATGCAGTCTTGAGAAAAATATCACCTTTCCCTTGGATGAACTCCCTCTGAAAGACTTCCTTCAGACTGCTATTCCCGTGCAGTAGTCTGTGAGCTGGTAAGATATATAAATGGGAAGCTCCATAAATGGCTTCAGGTGTATAGGTGTAAGCTGATACCTTCTCTCCTGTTATTTTACCGTTAACCTAATAAAGAACAAAAAATATCCCACATGAGTTTATTTTTTTTCTCCATTAGAAGTGCAGTCCTTCTCTTAGAAGGAGATTTTTCCATACAGATTTTCTGAAGCAATTGATAAAAACAATTTAACTAACAAAATACAACTTCCAGCAGTGCGGTATTCAGAGGTATTACAAAAGATTAAGCTGTCTCAATTTCAGGTTCCCAGAAATTCAGATTTAAAATAAGAAAGCACTTTTCATATATCAGACCAGAGCAAACGAGCACTGTAAAGCTCTGAAGCACGAGGGCTCAACGGCCATTAAGGACTCTGAAAATCTCTTCTGTCACTATCATATCTCAGAAGCCTTTTGCATCTCTTCAGAAGAACTTCAGACTTTCCCATTGTTTTCTAGATAATTATAATTTTCTTAAGGTTTCTCTTTCCTTCCTCTCTTTTCTCCTTCCTTCCTTTCCATTAGGACTTCCCTGTAGTTCCATCACTACTTACTTCTCTATTTTTCATTATCTTAATTATTGTAGTGTAATAAATGAAATAATGGACAAACCTAAATAAAAGAGATATTGGAAAGCACAGTGGAGAGATATAAAGTGGCCTGCCTGAAGTCAGCCTGGGTCTGCTGTGCAGAGAAAAGCTAAAGCCCAGCTAGAACCCAGCTGATGGGCCCTGCGCCACTTGATATCTCTCAGCACTGCTCCCCCAAATGTCCTGGTTTTCAGGAATTCTCATTCGTTGGCACGTATTTTGGCACAAACGCACATAGCCAACTTGCGTCCAATGTTGCACTGGAACACACACACCCTTTCCTAAACAGGACAGCAGGGATTATCATTTCAACACACACATGTGGTTCTTCAGGAATCGGTGTGGGTTTGGCTGTGAATGCATAATATTATCTTTTACTAGGTTTCAAGCTCTTTAAGATGTGAAAAGTGATCCCATCATGCTTTTCAAGGGTTGTGTTTAGCCCAGCCAAGACAGCAACACTGAAACTTCTGACTTACCTTTAGCAAGAAGTCAAGAGAGCATCCAGCACAGTCACCTATCCAATTTGCTTGCATTTCCTTTATACCATACCACTCAGGGAGATCAGACAGAGCATCAAACATAGCCTAATACAATAAAAGAAAGAATTGGGACATTTATCTTTTGTAAACACACAAATGGAGGTTAGAGGTTCAATTATAACCGGCAGCAAAATGATGAGGTGCTGGGGAAAAACAGAGGAAGAGGCGTTTTATACTGCTGCTGCCTCACATTCATCTCTGAGAACAGAATTAACACAGCACAAGCCACAGGTATGAATGTGTCTAATAGAGACCCTATGGTTATTAAAAGAGACCTTCCTTCTGAATGGACTAAACCTTAAACAAAGAACAAAACCATTAGGTGAACACAAACACAAAAGCATTAGGAATATGTACATTGCAGGAACTGTTAGTGACCTAATGAGCTGAACAAGACTACAAGAGATGTGCTTGCAGGAGTGAAACGTACATTTGGATTAGTCCTTTCTAGACGACAGCCTGGAAATGGCTTTCAGACTAACGACATTTGCATGTCCTAAATTTTTCAAGCTCTGTCTTAAAATGGCAAAACATAGCTTCCAGCTGCCTATCCATTTATTGTACTTCATATTTATATTTTACTAAGTACAGTCGGCTCCAAAATTGAGTGACATCTTCAGCTGACATCATCCTGCACAAATTTAAAAAACCTCATAGCAATAATGGTTCATATTAAATTCAAAATGTGAATTTATTACATGAGCTTTTAAAAACACAGCAGAGAAGAAATTAAGTGTTGGCTCCCTCATTATCCATGTCTTACTCTGCACTATAGCCAACCTGTAACTTTATTTATATAGTTACACTCAGCAAGGGAAATATCTACATATTAATGCACTTTCTAATGTATGGCACGGCAGTACACTGAAGGACTATTCCAAGCAGTTTGTCTAAACAATCTGAACAATATGTTTTTAATGAAAGAAAATATAAAAATTAAAGGAGAAGAGGTACAAAGAAATGGATAACTCAAAGCTAATCTCAATTTTCACTTCAAACACTTCATATTTTCATTATGAATACTCCATGACTGTCCAAACTCTTTACTTTGGCAGAAATACAACCCGAGGCATGAGTCACTCAGACAGATGGTGGATAGGCTGAACAATTACACTTAAAATCTAAGAATAAGGCAACACGTTGAATGATTTTTCCTTTAGCCGTATGACTCCAACATCAAACGTGCAAGCTGTTTATCATCTCAGTAACTTCTAACAACCTGCAAGGACGGACAGCACCTATTAGGCTCCGGTCCTAAATTAAATAGTTGGAAGCTGGAAATCTACTGAACACACAGCTCTTTTTCAACTTTCATATTTTAACTGCATTTTAAAACATTTTCAAAATGAGATCCATAACAGATGTTACAAGGATTAAATGCTGGTTACTGCTCTGTTGTGAATCTGTCATTCAAAATATAATAAATGGCATGCCATTCATAAATCACAACATTACATCATTTGAGATTCTTATTGCTTTCTTACATCCGTAAGAAACAAATTCCTTTTCTGATGATTTATAATACAAGAATGCTAAGGTTTTGGAAGGTTCTTAATAACATTGTAACTCTGATCAATTTTAGTCCACAATTGCAAGTGCACTACACCACAGAGAATTCCAAATTCTCATTATTCTCATCAATTTTAGTGCCCCAGAGACTACCGAGGTTTATCTGCCTACATGAATAATCCATGTACACATATATCTACCAAAAAATAAGGAATAACTGAATATATATCCAATACCTATAAATATATTCTCTGGACAAATTTTATGCATTATAAAAGTATGAAATTGTGTCAATAAACACAGACTGGCTGGACACATTAGTAAACTTTTATAAAACCTCCGGCTCGGATACTCATTCTAATCTACATTACACTTTGCTGGAAGAAGCATTTAAACGTGCATGTGCTGTACTGACATTGCAAAGTCTACAGCTGCTTGCCAAAACTGTCTTTGCAAAACTTTCTAGAGAGTCTTCACTACAGGATTAATATATGAAGTTCCCTAATACCAGTGTAACAATGGTTTTCATAGGCTATAGTTTGACGTAGCTCAGTGCTTCTGTTGATAATGCAATTGCTTCATGCAGCTAAACACATTATATAAGGCCCAACTTAGTTTCACCTGAGTGAGGATAACGAAAGTAATCCTGAGTGACAACAGAGCCTAGCACAGTTTGCAAACACAAACACTTCACATCTTACTGAGCACATGAACGGTAGACCGTGATAAACAAACAAAAACCCTTAAAAATTCCAACATGGAATTGTGATTCTCTACTCTTTGTGCTCAACATGCTGCTCTGGTTTCTTGTCAGGGCTACAGATGGCAAATGAAGTAGAAAATCAACAACATGCAAAACAAAATTTTTGTATGGTGCTACAGAGTCAAAAAGCATACAGCATATATATCGCCAACATGCTAATAAATGTTACTGGATGGTAAATTAACCTATGCGATCCACTAACAGGAAAGTAGAGATGCTCATTAATGCACACACTAATGCACTGTAAGTTCAAAATTCATCTGAGCACATGAAGAATTTTTAAAAAATGTTTAAGGGAAAGTGTTTTAAAAGACTTTTCATCTTCAAATCCAACTGCACTACATCCTGCAAAAACATGCATATATAAATACACGTTAAAAATATTTATTACTTTTAGTTTTAAAAGGGAATACTTAACCTACTTAGGTATAAGAAATTCTATGCATGGAAGCTCACCTAAGTTAGCAGAGAGATTCCTATATATTATGAACTTTTTTGAAATATTAGTTCCACAAATTTTGCTTCTACATTCCTTTTTTTTTTAAATCACTGCTGTGTTTGGTAAAGCAACTTTTGAAAACGTTAAATTAGTTCCATGAACTCTGCTGCCAGGTATTATTACTATTTTACAATCACTGCCTTGTGTGATATGTTTCTTAAACAAAAATTCCGACCCTCAAAGGCAAGTACCTAACTCCTAGTCAACCGTGCCATAAAATCTGTTAACTAGGTAACATGGAAAAGACAGTCAACAGGAGACACGAGGATTCCCAAAAAAAACTAACATTGTGGTAGATTCTGCAACACAGGAAGACCAGAAAGGCACTATTATGACGCATTAAGCAGAGAATGATAAACTTGTCAAGTAAATTCCATTTTCAAATTTATGACGATGATTTAATGGTGAGAAACTTGGAAACATTAGGCAGCAGACTGTTTCTGTAAGGAATACTTTCATTTTTCATGGCTCAAGAAGACAGAGGAAAACTTCAAACACGTACATCTAACGACAAGAGAAATGACTCCCATCTTGAGGGGAGTCTAAGAACTGAGAAGAGTTAAAAAAAGAAAAATGGGAAAACAGGTAATAAAAAGGCCACATAAAATACTGAGTTTGACTAGTTATAGAAATTCGTCGCACAATTTTAAGACCAAAGAAACTGACACAATGTTCAGATGGTCCCATTTTTGAATAGTCAAAAGTAGTTTGGGGACTGCCTTCAAGACAAAGTAGTAATTTTAGACAAATTTAAAAATGCAATGCAATGAATGAATGAAATGTAATGAATAAAAATTAAATACAAGACAGAAATAGTCAAGGTAAACGACAAATACACTTTTTACTTGTCTTCTAGATCTGAAGATAGACCTGGTGAAAGTTAAGAAAGCTAAGAATGACTTCAAGGCCATTAAACCCTTAGGAAAGTTTGACTGAAGTGCTGGAGAAGTAGGAGACTCAGGATAAACTAATGTTTCACAAGACTGCTTTATTCTTTCCAAATAACTAGGAAATTCTGGCATAGCTAGGAGGAGAAAGCCAGTTCAGATTATCAGAGAATCACAAAATCAAGATGAGTTTGCTGAAAGCTCTTTATAGAAAATGATGACCAGGTGTGAAACTAGAAATAAGTGTCCTGAAAGTGGCAACAGATCTCACGTACCCAGTTATTAGTCTGTTGAAGATTTATATAGAGAACTTCAGTTTAGCAATCTTTGAGCAGAGGAAACTAAGTAAAGCCAAAGAACAGAAGGGCTTTATACTTCCCCAAGACTCAGTTCCAAACTCCTGAGTTCTCAGTTCCAAAAGATCCCCCTCAATCTGCAGTGCAAAAAGGGAGATTCTGATGAGCACCGAACAAATTCAATCTCTGATTGACTTCGGGAAATACTATTTTAAATATAAGCAATGCCTGACACTACTTTCATACTGAATGAGAACAGTTTCAACATCTCTGAGAGGGTAAATGCAATAAAGTGAAAAATCTAAGCGTGAGCTATAAAGCTAAACGTTTATTCTGCTTTCAGTGACGACACTTTAATGAAGCTTGACAAGTTTGCAACAGAATAACAAGACTAAAATAAAAAGGTCAGCAAGAGGTTTCATTTCAAAAGCATCCAATTCATTAGCAAAACAAAATTTTCTTCTGCCAAATTAAAACAAAATTAAAATAAAAAGCACTGCTGTTAAGGACAAATTTTGTCAAGAGTCAAAGAAATATTCAAGATCTGTTGGGATTAAAATGAAATTCTTCACAATATTTGATCAAGCTCCCAAAAGACTAAACAAATATAAACTAAAGATTAAAGGAGATCACTTACTACAACTTAATATATTTAACTAGAGTACAATAAACTAAAACTGGTCTGCCCAATGCTTTATTTTGCATTCTACTGCACTAGCTCCAACTGTTACTATGCATTGTACCTTCTGCTGGTAGTTTTTAATCTCCTTATTTTGTTATTTCGGTATCTTCAGTAGTTTCTGCCTACACTATCATCAGTCACTTTTGACTCTTATTTCCCATGTGCCAAGTATCCTGAAAACATATGTTAAAAAGGAGCAATAATACAGATACTGTACATGCTTCAAATTCTCACACGTCTGAATTTTCAGTAGTTTTTGCCTTTCTCTATCCTATAATTTATAGTTAACAAATGTCTCTGGTTTGACTAATGTTTGAACTAGGTATAAATGAGGTAAATAAATGAAATCTTGAAAGCAAAAAGTAAATCCATTTTTTCCTCCAGATTTCTTCTCGCTGTAGCAATTACC